AGGTCGACGAGGGGAGCGTGGTGCAGATGGAGGACGCCGAGGGAAATGTCATGCCTGAGAAGGTGTACTACGATTTGCAGAAGCAGGGTCTTTTATAAATATGGGGTCTCTGAAGAAGGAAGTGAAAGGGGCAAAGGAGATCAGATGGTCCGGCGTGGTGTACAAGTATTTCAAAGGACATGGAGACGCGTTGATGCCAAGACGCGCTACGGAGATTGTAAACTGTAGAAATCAAAAAGACTTACATCGAGGTTTACTTGGATGGGGGATAATCGTATTGCGGTGATGACAGTCATAGAAATGATATCTTTGAGGAACCTCATGAACAACGATTCTTGATGGCGGCCTGAGCCTTGGTTTGGCAAACTCTTCGAGACAAGTGCGCAACAAACGTGGAAATACGTCCAAATATCCCCAACATCAGCGGAACTAGAGACTTGCTTGCTAAAGACGGTTGTGTTCATTGACTTGGAACTTGCACAATCTGCATGTCATGGTATGCTAAACATCATCTTCAGACCTCACGCCAGATGCTACCGTACAGGCAATGCTATGCTTGCAGCGCTTGACCTATCCTCCCAAAACGGCCTTTGCGGACCTATCTACTGAGCTAAAGATCGAGTATTGTGAAACAGATTTGATCAGCAGAGAATCACTGATGCAAGCGGAGGATGTGTGTGTGGTTTCAAAGTGAGCCATCCTTGGAGGCCACTGTATATATGGGTTGTTAGTCTATGTGGTATGGCCCATTCTAAGGCATCTATCTCTTTGTACAGTACCGCCTGGGTGGTTTCTTTTCATCGCTCCAAAAACATTCGCTTTCCCCTAGTTGCCCCGTGTAACTTTTCTGTCTTCCCTTTGCGATCTTTTTTCCGTGTTGACCGTGTGACCCGAATCCCTGAGTAATTCCGTTCAGGCGATATCCAAATGCCGTTGCTGAAAATGACAAAAAACCCCGCCTGTAGTATCCAGGTGTCCCAAATACACAAAGGAAATGGAGCTCAATGGCTTCCGCCGCTTTTCATCCTCATTAAGTTCTGTCCTGTAATTCTTCCCCTGATGTAATGCTGGTGTCCGTTTGCCGGTACACGAAAAAACAAAATCGTTGTGTATCCCTTGTGGGGATGTCTTTCATTCGTCTCCAATAATCGTGGAGGATCGTGGAGGATCTTAGAATCTAGTCCTCGAATAGACCAGACATCTCCTCGAGAAGCTGGTCGGCGGTAGGGCGCTCGGCGGCGTCCATGCGCATGATGCGGTTGATGAAGTGAGAAGCGGTGCGGAAGTCGAGAGGCTCAACCTTGCGGCCAACAGTCAGTGCCTTGGCAGCCATAGCCTTGCCGGGACGCGCCCGCTCGAGGTAGGTTTCGGGAATGGCACCGAAGCGTCGAGACTGTTGGCGAAGGACCTCAAAGATGTAGCTGCGGTCGTGATAGCGAGCGTTGGTAGGGCGGAAGGGGTTGTAGTCGCCACCGTGGAGGAGAGCAATCATCATGGAGCCAAAGGCCCAGATATCGCTGGCAGTTCCCCAGGGAACCTCCATGAGCACTTCAGGGCTGGTCCAAATGGGAGCGCCGATGAGGAAACCCTTGGTGGCGACGTCAGAGTCAACGGAGTAGGAAGCCCCCAGGTCACCGATCTGAACGTCAGAGAATCGAAGATCGGGGTCGGCTTCAGAAGCCGAGGCGTAGTTGACGAGAATGTTGTCAGGCTTGATATCGGTGTGAACGTAACCATCCTTGTGGAGGGTGGAGAGACCCCGAAGAACAGCGCGGGCAACGAAGCGAATCTCGCGGTTGGTCAAGGGCTTCTTGATGGTAGCGTTCAAAAGATGGTCGTCCATGTGCTGGAGCACAATCATCGGGGCATCTTGCTGGATCTCGTCGATAACGGGGCGGAGGAAAGGGTTGCCCTGGAACTTGCGGAGGACGTTGTGCTCGTTCTGGGCTCCGGAAATGCCCTGAACACCCTTGACGATGGACTTGTTGCCCATGGGGTTACTGTTGATGCTGTTAGTATAATGCTTCTCTCTGAACAATGCTTGATTATAGTAAGCTTACGTTGCGATCCAAACGCCCTCACGGATCTTCTTCTGGATGGTGTATCGGCTGGCGTTGCCGAGCAGGATCTGGCCGATCTCGAGGGACGGGGTCCCGAAGGCGGAAGTGAGACCTCTGGGGATCATTGTGTTGGTGTGTGTGCGTGTGTGGGTTGAGAGAATGAATCTCTGTCCAAAAGTTGCTGCGATAAGATAGTCTTCGGCGGGTTCACGTCGTCGAAGTTGACTTCTTTATGTGACAGCTTGCAGAGGCTGTCGAAGAAGAACCAGGTCGATAATGGTCATTAGGTGATATATGCCCGATCGAAGGTTGTGGAGAAAGCGTCTAGCACGAGATTCCAGTCATCAGGGTGGAATTCTTGTCTAGACAAAAGCCGGTTGAGGTGTCTAAGATGGGCGTAATCGATGGTCTCGAATCGATGTCGAAGTAGGTCGAGTTGGTTGTCGGAGTGAGAGTGACAGAATCGAGGCAAGCTGAGTCGGAGGAGCAACGCTTCTTTAACGGGCAGTCGGGTACTTTCAGGCGGTACCTTGGAATAAAAAGCCAAGACAACCACCTCAAGGGCAAGCCGCAGACCGCAGGGCAGGGGGCGTGGCGTGGCGTGGGAGGAAGTGGGTGGTGTGTGATGGAAGTGGTGGGGGCGTGTTGATGTGAGAAGACCGGGACCCCCACCACTCTGCATACACAGTACATGAAGGTGAGGTATCACCCCCCCCCCCCTAAGAAGCAAGCTTATTAGCAGCAACTAGCACTTTTACTTCCGACTCTCTCACTGGTAACCTGTGTGCCTGTCACTGTCACACTGTTCCTCTCTCGTTCTCTCTCGTCTTTCTCGGTGTGTGTGTGGCACAGGGATCACCCAAGTCCCTTCAGCGGCTTTCTCCCAAACCGTTCCAGTGAGTGGAAGGGAAGCAAAGACGAAAAGAGTCCAGACTTCTGATTGCAGCGGGATGTGCGAGCCGGACTTGGCAGCGAGCAGCAGGGGTGGCAAGGTACGTACTAATATTCGTGTTCACTATTCGAACACAGTATTTTAAGTAGAGATTCATCTCAGATGGTGTTTGACAAGACGAGACGAGGGACAGTCTCGCGGGAAATAGAAAAGATACGTCTCTCTCTATAGTCTTGACTCTTGACTCCTCTCGCTCAGATCACACACAGACAGACGGACAGGTGAATGTGCCGGCTGGGCATCGAGGGCCTCGAGGGCTGGAAATAGGACTTTAGCAGCTGCCACCATCTCACCACGCTCACCTTACTTCGACTCTTACTATTCGTAACAAAGCTAGCTATGCGTGCCACGGGTCGAGCGCGGCGGCGGTGAGGCAAATGAGTTCGCTCCAACTTCCTAGTTTCAACTTTCAGTGAGCCGGGGGGGAGCACTCACCCGGGTCCAGAATAATCACGGCACCTCCACCCACCATTTCATGGAAGGAAAAAAAGATTTTTCTTAGTGCGACGGCACACTCACCTTATCCGCCTGCCGCCTGCTTCATCCACCCCCACGGGTCGTCTCCTCTCCTAGGGTAAACGTGCATGGTGGAGGGGGCCTACTGAATGCTGGTGGAGGGTGGCCTATCGGTCTGTCGGTCTGTCGGTCTATCGCCATAGAACGTGCAGCGGCCGTGGACAGTAGACTGCGGTCTAGATCACTCCTGGTGCTAAGTCGTTCCCTCTCGGCGCGTCGACAGCTTCTAGATAGACAAAACGATGCCTAGTCCCAAGCTGTTCTGTGTGCCCAGCAATCGACAGAGACCAACAGAGACTGAGGGTAACCCAGGAGGGAAGGTCATCTGCGTGCGGCTTCTGGATCGCAGGTCTAGGACAGGGAATTTTTGGCGTCTCGAACAGCGATGGTGACAGTCCTTCTCCAGCCAGATCCAGTGTGCTCTATGATTGACCTTGGAACCCTTGGCCTAAGGTAGGGATCGGCAAGGATGGACCGTATTTGGAGGCGCTCCCAAATCCCATTATAGGGGTCCCCTCCTCCGGCCCAGGTACGCGCCCACACCCCTCTAGGTTGCGAGTGCTGACTGGCTTTCTTTGCAATCCACAAGGACACCCTCAGTGACCATCGGTGTGTCCAGGTGGTGAATTGGTTGGCTGGCATGTCGCTGCCACCGAAGGGCCGGATACATGTGTCTGCATCCGTTGCCTGCCTGCCCAGGTGGCCTGGTGGTATTCCAGCATGACCAGACGTCTTGGGCGCACGCGGAGCTTAGAGAGCATCCGGCCTCTATTGTCACGCAACTGCAGGTAATTGCCCGTTCGAAGGGTGGTGTGCTTGTCTGGTGCTTCCTTTGCTGCCGCGTCGTCTCTGAATCAATCGGGTTCGGCTATCAACTGCCACAATGGTGTGCTGCAGTGCTGCACACCAAATGCAGGCTGACTGCCTTAACGGTGCGAATAGGCGGGTGATCTGAAGTGTCAGAGGGTGGGTTGTTGACTGATTAACTTCCAAAGTTAGAGATGAGGTGTGGGTAGCAAGCCGCACGCCGCACACCGCACGCCGTAACCCGTATTCCACTACCCAAGCCATCCCAGCGCCTCCAACGCCGTGGTCGGCAGGCCCAAAGCCGTAAAGCCGCAAGCGTTACGCCAGTCAGTTGAGGAAGCTGATGGCTTTCTGGCCGTACAGTCGATGGGCTTTTGCCAGGGAAACAAGCTGACGAGTGTTGTTTGGTGGCTGTTTGTTCGGCTCTCATAGCTTCGAACCAGTGAGCCTGATGGCTTGGATGCTTCAATGCTTGGCTGCAGCTGTGGTCTACACTCGCGCATGCATCACTCACACAGAAGGCCTGCTCGCTCGCAGCAGCGGAGCACAAGGGGGAGGAAGCTTTGTCATGTCTCGGAAACTCGGTCAAGACTCTCGAAGGCACAGTCGAAAACGTGGGGTGCGAGGAATGGCACTGGTGATCCAACATACAGTGTGACTGTGTATTACTGCTGCTCGCTCCCGAGTCGGAAATAGGCGAACGTGGCAGACCTCATCGGATCAGCGAGGGCAGAGGGACCAGCGTCAACCCACGCGTGCCACGGGCATGGTGTGCCAATCGAAGACGCCAATTGAGGGGCATTCTGTGGATTTGTGACGGCGGATGCGGATTGAGCGGCGATTATGTCTCGAGTCGTAGGGCAGGAGGCGAACTGATGTGCGCTGGGAACGACTGAACAGGACACTCCGTACGTAGTTTGTCTCCGTACGGCTCTAGTGCCAGCTCCAGTGCTTCACTCCGTGTATCTGGAAGCCTCCATCGGTGCCTTTTGGTTTTTTGTTGGAGCAGGGAATCTTTACTCGGGCATCTGGGGTGCGTGGCTCCTTGACCTCTGGAGCTGCACAACTGCAGCCGACAGTCGCAGGTCGGTCAATCAACTGCTCGATTTCTCTTCTGTCGCACAGGCTGTGTCACTGCACTGACGCAGCGCTTGGGTATGGCTGAGTGTTGTGCGAGGTACTAATTGGCACAGCCAACGAGGTTCTGATGGATACGTGAGTACCTGAAATCCACAGTATACGAATGTGGCTCGGTAATCAACGTAGGATGCGTCACTCGTCGTAATGGCAGGTGATCTATGCTCTTGTCAGCATCAGTGAGATCTCGTGCCCTCGATTCGTCTCGATTCCCATTTCTTTGAACACCTTGGCAATCTGAGAAAGCATTTGGTCTCTCGAGTGCCACTTGGTAGCCAGGCGTGCCCAGGCAGAAGACTGGTGGTTCTGTGAGTAATAACAAGTAAATAGCGGTATGAAGGGGTTTTGCTCATGTTGAAACCGGTATCGTCAGGCACGCATCCGCTTGAGTAGTTCTGAGTGCATGCAGGTGGTTAGTTAGACGGAAGCTTGGGAGCTTGGAGGTCCACGATTGCGGTTGCGGAGTGCAGCATTGGCTGAGTTCCGCGGTCGGTGTCGGTGCTGGTGTCGGTGTGTCGTGACCCCAAGCTGGCGGGAAGCTGGGGAAGCTATGCGTAAGGTGGTAAGGTGGTAAGGTAAGGTACGAAGTACATCGTGGACAACTTCACCCCCCGAGCTACACAGCTGACGAGGGTGGCATTTTTTTGCACATCACGGGACGAAATGTTGCGACACGGGAATCTAAAATTGAAAAACATGGGGGAATGTTGGGGCCCTTGGCGGGTGGAGGGTCCGGTAGCCGGGGGGGAGACGAGGGACGAAGCCGGGCGACGATGCTTCAGCTGGGGGGAGGGAAGGCACGAACGGTACGAGACAACAGGTACCTCCCTTTGGAGGCAGGAGGGCAGGAGGCATCGTCAGGAACAGCAGGAACGGCAGGCACTCACTGGTGCTGACGGCAGGAGGCAGGAGCAGAAAGTGCGAAAAAGTGCAGGTGCGAGGTGCAAGTGCAACCGCCAACCGGAAGGAACCACGAGGCGGAAGACTTGGGGTCAGCTTCCCCGGTGTCTTACCCCCTGCTCCCGTCACCGGCTGGCCCTCCACGCCTTCCCATGGAAGCCCAAGCCTCCCATCCTGGCATCCCCCGACAAGAAAAACATGACTGGGAAAAAAAAAAAAAGAAAAGCAAGGTGAAGAAGGTGAGGTGAGACCCCAAGGTGAGAACAGGTGAGCAGCCACAGCCTTCCCCGTGTCCCAAACAGGACTAGCCTCTCCTCAACTCCCGACCGAACATTTCTATTTTCAATGCAGCCGTCAGCCATCCAATTTACACACAGATTTGATCCAGATTTCCAAAGTGAATCAATATTACGGAGTAGATCCCACATTATTGTTCTAGGTAGGCCCCCTCAAATTTTTGACACTTTCGACACTTTCCGTGTACATTGCTTGTTTCTTCCGTGAGTCGTGACAACATCCCGTTCCCCGTGGCCAATCTCGATTCCCTTTCCATCTCTTGACTCACCTTCATCTCTCACTCCCTTCCATTCTGGTCCAACTTCCCTGCGCCCTCGTGCTACGATGTTACGGTGCTTCACTGAAACTTTTAACCTGGAGTAACCTGTGGCTGCTGCCGCTACTGCTGCACTCCCACCACCCACGTCAATTCGTCTCACCGTGACCTGCGTTGCATTCTTAACCCCCCCGACCTGGCCTGGTGCTCTCACCTGACCAGATCCAATTTGTCGGTCCCTGGCCGAATGTCACCCTGACGCCAAAAAAATTCCGTCTCCCCCCCAAACTTGGGATTCACTTTACTCAAACTCCGCGACCATCCCACGCTCCCACGCCCTCTCCCACGCTCTCAGTCAACAGCCTGCAGTTACCCGAGTCTCCGACCCCTCGGCCGACATCGCTCTCTACAGTTAGCCTCCAAGAATTCAACCAACCTTGGAGCCGAATCCAGACCTGGAACGCAACTCGCCTCGCCTCGCCTCACACACCGCTCTCTCACCTGGCCGCTGCGGCGCCGTCCAGTATCATCGCCCCGCGGTGCATTGCCAGCAGCACCCGGAACCACCACAACTGACGCCGAAGTTCACCAACAATAGCACAGGCGTTCAAGCATCGCCCAAGCCTGGCCTGGCCTGGCCCGGCCTGTCACCCATACCTATCCTTCTCTCTCTCCCTCCAGTGTTCGCCCTGTGGTCCGACACCCATCTATCTGGACAAACTCAGTCACAGACCCAACCCCGACCGCCCCGACACACGCTCAAACCCGAGTCCACGTATGCGCCCATAAGCAAAAGACGAGTCTAGACTGCCCGGCGGCCAGCACAAGCACTGAGTCTCGAGTCTGCACCGCTCTCTCTCGTCCCTCCATCCCAAAACACGTCGCAGAACAACATGTCCTGACTTCGTCTACCGTCCCCTGCCGAGTCATGCCCGTCCAGTCCAAGCCCATCCCCGCCCTCTACACGGTGTACATCCTCCGTTCCACCGTACGCCACGCGTCTCTCTACATCGGCTCGACGCCCAACCCCCCGCGCCGTCTGAAGCAGCACAATGGCGAGGCCCGCGGCGGCGCTGTTCGCACTTCTCGTCTAAGCCTACGGCCCTGGGAGATGGTGGGGCTGGTATCCGGCTTCCCGGGCATGGTTGCTGCTCTAAAGTTTGAGTATGATCTCCGTCCCGTTCACGATCTACCTTGACCTTGAGGCTGTTTCCCTCTTATCATGCTTCCAAGCATGCTCTCAAGCAAGGTGCTCTGCTTCAGATGATGTTTCCCCGCTCCTCCTCCCCTCCACCCCCCTAGCTTGCACATGCTCAGGTTCTCCTGCATGTCTAGATTTTGCATATTGCACCATTTCGATTTGATTTGATTTGATTTGATGTCACATTCTGTATCAACATCAACCTTCTCAACCATACGCTGACAAAGGAACAACAGATGGGCGTTGACGAACCCACATTTGTCTCTGCATATACCCTCCACGTCTCGCATCACCGTCTCAAACGGAGTAAAGAAGAATGGACGTCCCCGCCGACCTCGTGCTAGCCTCTCCTCGATATTGTCCAATCTACAGCTCCTGCTAGGAGTACCGAGCTTCCGTCGGTGGCCGCTTACACTACACTTCTTTGCAAAGGATGTACACAAAGCATGGGTTTCCTCCTCTACCAAGTCAACCGAGCCTCTGCGAAACACCCTCAACATAGTCACCGACTTCGGCCCCGACCCCGCCGCATCTTCAGACGACGTCGCTTGGGGCATCCATGCCTTGCCTGTGGACTACACGCACATGAAGCCATACATTGAAAAAGCACAGTCCATCATCGCCTTTGAAAGAGAGGGCAGCTGTGTAGTCTGCAAAGAGGCACTACCTCACGGTCAGGGATTACACGCCGTGTGTCCAAACGAGTCCTGTGAGGCTGTTGGGCATCTTTCATGCTGGAGTCGTCATATGCTCCACCATGAAGAGGATCGAGAAGTGGTCGTCCCTATTCAGGGCCGTTGCCCACAATGTGGGGGCCACATTCAGTGGGTCGATATGATGAAAGAATTGTCACTACGTGAAAGGGGTGCGAAAGAAGTCGAGGCTCTTTTGAAAGTGAAGAAGAGGCGAACGAAGACTTGATAAGATCCACGTGGGTCTCTGTGTCAAACACGGATCTGCAAGATCCATCTGCGAGAAAACATCTTTTCGGCCCACAAAGCCTGTTTCTCCCAAATGCTGCGAGTCAGCCTGGGTCTCTGCGAACCAGACAGCCAGCGTCGAATTTTTCGCATTGTCGTCATACCAGTGGAGTTCTGCATTTGCGGTAATATCGAACCGTTTTCACATCTCGGCTACTGTCGATTCGGAGTGTTGAGAGCATTCCTTGGGGCTCTGTGGGTTGGTCTAGAAGCGATTCTGCATGCAAATACGTTTGCCCAATTCTGCAAGCTCAATGGAAAGCTTGGAGGGTTGTGCATCTCCGCAGGCTTGCCTTGACTCTTGCGTACGCTGCGTTCTGGCTAAAGTCTAACGTTCGGGAGACCGACCCCAACAGTGCTGGAACGCACCGTTGAGGTTGGTTCGGGAAAGTTGACCATCCAGACTACGCCCAAGGCGATGCACATAGCCGGATGCAAATAGCTTCGGGCGGTGTATGAACGCGGATAATCCAGCATCGTTTCTCGGCATGTCTGGCTCGAGAAAAGGTCAGACACTGAGCTGGCGCGAGGCTGGTGACGGCCTGGGGATCTGCGACACCGGTAGACTCTGACGCCACCATCGAAGACAGCGCGACCAGCCCCGAGAGCTGCGGCCGCAACCATGGGCCTGATGGGCAACAAAGGGGTCGACTAGCTCAGAGTCCTGTTTTCCATGGCATGGCCTAAATTGCCAATCTGGCCCGAGAGCAACCACGCCGAGGCCCTAGTAGCTGTGATATTCTCGTTATCCGACTTGGCTCTGGCGGGATAGTAGTGCATAGATGTCTGTACCATGAAATTGAAATCGGATTATGTCTTACCTATGAGCTCTTTGCGTGCTTCCGTATTGCATATAGATATGGTCCGATTGAATGTGATCTACAAGAAACCTGCTCAACCCGTGGCCAGATTGTATCTCAGTCTCACTGTTTGTGAAACCACATCGGTCTTGAACCACCATTACAGGTTGAATAACGAGATTGAATTGTCGTGTCCGAGGTCAGTCTTGTAAGTTTACTTTGATGTCTCCGTAATTTACAGACTTGGTCGATGCTGGATCTGCACTCCCGCGAAACCGGAACTGTGAATTACGCCAGGAATCGTGCTCACATCAGTAAGAGCCGTGAGCTACTTTGAGCTCTCCCTCATCAACTCCATGACTGGCTAGCAATCCTGTGAAGCTCTGTGCGAGGCCTCGCCATGCCAAAACCAAAGAGAATGTGCCATTATTGTCAGTATGTATGCTTGACTGCGTACTACGCGTTCTCATGGGATCGAGCGAGCGAGCTACAGGACACGATATTTCTGGTCTGAATAGAGAGAGAGAGAGAGAGAGAGACTGGGAACCCAGAGTCGAAAGTCCGACGATGCCCAAGTGGTTCCGTACTAAGGTAAATCATTGCCGGACTACGATGCTCTAGTAATCATCTCTCCGAGTTGAACCGTGACACCGTCTCATCGATAGAAAGAGATATCCACATGAAATTTGCAATGACAATGGCTGATCTTGGTGATGTCCCCTGAATCTTTCTGCTTTTCAAGAGAAGAGCCCCTTGGACTCTACAATAAGAGGTGGGAAATCTCCTGAGGAGGCGTTGGCCTCATAAAGCTCCTCCCACTTTCGTAGACGTACACGGGTTGGTACACGTCCACCTTACGAAGTAGAAGATCACTGTCCTCGCAGCAAACTAGGCTCTATATGCCCGCTCCACCTCAGAGCTGTGGAGGAACCTCTTAAGGAAGAAGGGGTGGTGTCTACGTAGTCGGTAGACCTTAAAGCCATGTCTGGCAGGCATATCTCCTAGACTTTAGGGAATTTGGGAGTATAGGGGTGATTCTCGTCTGTGGCCATTGCTTCTTTGAGATTGGAAAGAAGCTGAAGAGGTACAGTCAGAAGCAGATGAAGCAGCTCGAAGAGTAGACGTTAGATGGGACAGCAATCCCGACACAGACTTAATCTCTCCGAAACCGAATCTCGCTCTCCGTTCTAACGGAGCATATGACGTCTTAAGCGAAGCAGTGTCTTGTAGATATGAGCTGCTCAGTCCCGGGCCACAAGCCCAAGGAACGCCAAGTGCATAAGTTACACGGTCCAGCTCTCCGAATGATTGATATAGACCCAGGCGACTGAGTACAGAGAATATCAGTCGTCTCGGTATGTGCCAGGAGGTTCTTCTTACCATCGTGGACGATTCCGAATATGCTGTTCAAACGAACCACCCCAATTAAATGAACGCAACAGTGGTTTCAGAGAGAACCCCGTGAGCATAGGTACAGATTGTGAGCTTCAAGGTGCAAGCCCACCATGAATTCAGGCTCCAGGCTATGTCTTGCGGAAGTTGTTGAATGTAGAGCGGCATCTGGCCAATCTCATAGGCAATAAGCACTTGTAGTTTTGTGTGTGTGGTTTCCCGTGAGCCATTTCGCTCAAGACGAAGAGAACTCACAAAAGGCCAATGTCAATTGTGTCTCCAGCATGCTACTTTCCGTGTCTAGGTACACCACCGGCCATCACGAGTGCCTATATCGCAACATTGCAATGTCTCGTACCTTTAAACTCTAGTTTTCATATGAAACTTCATGTTGACGTCCAGTTGTCTGTTCCAGTTGCAGGAAATATCTGCATCTGAATCATAATAAAGGGGCATTTGGCAATGACATGGAGAACAAGCAGACTAGTTCAGTATTTTCAGGCAGAAACGTGAATTATTTGGGTATGCGAAAATCACTGTCAGCCTGATCTTATCGATCTGACCTACGGATAATAGCTACTCCATCTGGATTGCGCCTACTTTATTTTAGATGCAGGAAAGTGGTGGTTACATGAGCATAATTATGACGATCAACCGAGGGAAGTATAACCGGTTTCTCTGAATGTTGGTATCTAGCAGTCCTTGGTGGCTGATAGTTAATGATACTCAGAACAGGTTGAGAGGAACTTTTCTTTCTTTCTTGCTTGCGTATGTTGGAACTTCAACATGATTTCTGTGCAGTGTCTCAACAATGCTGGGGGTAGTAACCCTCTAGACTCTTTTCATAATTGTATGAATGGCCGAAGAGAATCTACCTTAGAGATAAATGGCAGGTCTGCTGTAGGTCTCATCGTCACCTCTGGCTTGATAAACACCCGTGCTCAACGTTGTCTACTGAGCTGACTGGTCATTCTTGATAGAGTCACAAATGGGAGCCTTCTAAACAATCTCCAATAGGCGTGCCACGGATCAAGGAACTAGACAGACAATCTTGGCGGGACTTGTTCAACCATCTTCTTGATAAAATTATGTTGGTAATGTGAAAAGAATATTCAATCTATTCTGCCAAAGCTGCCGGGATCACGAGATCCTCTTTAAAATCAGTCTTTGACGTCACCTAAGCGTGCAAAACGACTTCCATCTCCTTTATCCATCTCATTTCTCATTATCATCATGCTCAAGACTCGAGGTTCGCGCAAGTTCGTTGTGATTTCTGCTTGTCATTTTCTACTTTCTCAACGAGCCCTGATATGAGATTTTGTTTCTGAGAAAGGTACACGACGTGAGCTCAACTTAAACTACATTTCGTGAAGATATCAGTCTGGTGATAATCAGTCGTGATATCAGGAGTTGGCGGATGACTAAGCCGTGGTGGTCGTCAAATTTCGTGCAGGTCATCTGAGGAAAGAACAAAGGAGAAAAAAAAATCAATCAGAAAATGCTAAAACTGAGTCGCCCGTCCAGCGCCCGCCCCCGCAAGCAGGGATGAACCTCGCCCTTGAACCGATCTGGGACGTCAGGGTGGGTTTCTCCAACGTCATACTGTCGTGATTGGCTCGCTAAGCGATTGATATTGGCGTCCCCCTGTTGAGTCAGCGCGCGATATCAGATGTTGGTTTCTTGTGCATGGGAAAAGAGTGGGCGTGCAGCAAAGTCTCGTGGTCCGTGGCATTGTATCCTTTTGCCTCAGACCCAGGCAAGCCAGGCATTCACCTTAGCCAGGGCATGCCGTCCTGGCAGGGCAGAGTTTAGGCGTTTAGACGCAACACTGAAATGCAGCAGTGGCAAAACTGTCACAGGCTGGACAATCGGAGACAAAATGGTGCAAATTCGGTAAGGCAATATGACTTCTCGAGGAATCCCATGTACAGAATTCCGTACTGCCAAGTGTAGCCTCGAAATGCCATCCGAAGCACGTAAGGCTCGGATGTCGGAATGACAGCGCTGGCGATGCATCAACGCCTTGCATGCATCCTTCTGGTCTAGATGACAATGCGCCAATCACTGGAGACATGTCGGACGGCGATTGAGGGATGGCCCTGTTACGAATGTTCGGTCGATGATCGAGAGCAATTCCAGGCTTTTCACTTAGCCCTGGGCGATGCGGAGGTTTTGCGGCCGTGCACTCCAAACCAAACGATTCATGGACCGGCATTTGCGACGTCTTCGGGCGCTGCTGCGATTAATTGTGTGCGAGCGCGCGCGCGAGTGTGTGTGTGTGTGTGTGTCTGATGTCGCATGTCGACCGACTTGGATGTCAGGATTGGGGGCCATGTACCAGTGTACCTGAGGACGGTCGGACCACAATGTACCTCGGACTAAAGACCGTAAAATGACACCAGGGCAAGTGCATCCTACTCTCTTCCGCCCGTCATCAAAGGGAAGCAGGAGGCTTAGCCGGGGAACTAATGGATCGCTCCCTTTGAAGGGTAAAGTCATATTGGCCGTCAAGTAATGCCAGCCGAGCATCCAGATCAACAGAGTCGTTTGGTTTGATCTTGGTTGACTGTTACTAGCATGGTCCTGGTATGGATCCGAGGGGTCGTCAGGAACAGACGATGATATTGGTAGACAGACAGTCTTCTGTGGTTGGGCCAGGATGCTTGTCAGCTCAGGCTTCTGTTGGTGAGGGAGGGAGAGCGACTCCGTGGACGTCATGGAGGAGGCACCCGAGGAAGTACCGTGTACT